AGTGGGGGTGGTATTGGGGCAGTTCTGATGCAGGAAGGACACCCCATTGCTTTTCTGAGCAAGGCATTGTCACCCAGGAATTTGGGACTGTCAGTATACGAAAAGGAGCTACTTGCTCTAGTGATGGCAGTCACTAAATGGAGGCATTATCTGGTTGGGAGTCATTTTGTTATCAGAACTGATCATCAGTCATTAAAGTATCTGTTGGATCAGAAATTGAACACTGCTCTCCAACATAAGTGGATGACAAAACTCATGGGATTGGATTATGAGATACAGTATAAAAAGGGAGCTGAAAATAAGGTTGCAGATGCTTTATCTAGGAGGCAGGAAGCTGTTTCAGATCTTTTTCCCAAGACATGCTTAGCTATCTCTGCAGTGAGACCAGGGTGGATTGAGGAACTGCAGAAAAGCTATGAACTAGATGAACACTGTCAAAACATCATGGCTCAGCTACTACTGGATCCCAATTCTCATAATGGCTTCACTCTGGTGGATGGAGTGCTACGATACCAAGGAAAAATTTATGTGGGAGGTGCCAATAACATCAGGAACCAGATCCTTCAGGTGCTGCATGCCTCAGCACTGGGAGGGCATTCAGGACAAAAAGGCTGCTGGCAGAGGATTAAGTCACTGTTTTATTGGCCAGGGATGAAACAGGAGGTGATAACTTTTGTTCGTAGCTGTGATACCTGTCAAAGGAGTAAGTCTGAGAATGTACCATATCCTGGTCTGTTGCAACCAATTCCAGTTCCCACCCAGGCCTGGACTCACATTTCCATGGATTTTATTGAGAAGCTACCCAAGTCACAAGGTTTTGACACTATACTGGTGGTGATTGATAGGTTCACTAAGTTTGGACATTTTGTTAGACTCACTCACCCATTCACTGCCAAAGGGGTCGCACAAGTGTTTCTGGACAACATATACATAATGCATGGTTTACTTGAATCCATCATCACAGACAGGGATATGATTTTCACCAGTGGATTTTGGAAGGAGTTATTCAAGGTGCTAGGAACAGAACTACGCTATACATCTTCTTACCATCCTCAGTCTGATGGTCAAAGCGAGAGGCTGAATCAATGTGTGGAGAACTACTTGAGATGCATGACAGGAGAAATGCCATCACAATGGAGCAAATGGCTGTCCATGGCTGAGTGGTGGTACAATTCTACCTATCACTCTAGCCTCAATATGACACCATTCGAAGCTCTGTTTGGATATAAACCCTTGCCACTACCATTAGGACCTTATTTAGATTCGGTAGTCCCGGCAGCTTCCAATATGGTCCAGGAAAGAAACAGGATCTCTAACTGCATAAAGGACAACTTGGCCAAGGCTCAACAAAGGATGAAACACTTTGCTGACCAACACAGAATTGAGAGAGAATTTGTCGTGGGAGATTGGGTATTTCTGAAGCTTCAACCCTATAGACAACAAACTGTGGCAGTAAGAAAATGTCTCAAGCTGTCTGCTAAATACTTTGGGCCCTTCCAGGTGGAGGAGAAAGTTGGCACAGTGGTCTACAGATTGAAGCTGCCAGCAGGTACTAGAGTACACCCTGTGTTTCACATTTCACTGCTGAAGAGAAAAATAAGGCCAATGCAAGGTAGTTCTACCAAGCTTCCAGAATTGGACACACACGATCAATGCCCCCTGTAGCCAGAAGCAATACTGAGCAGAAGAGTCATTTTGCGCAATGGGCAGACTATCATTCAGTTCTTGATTAAATGGGAGCAGCTAGAACCTGAAGAAGCTTCTTAGGAGGATAAATCCTTCATTGAAAACCAGTTCACTGCTTTCCAAACTTGAGGACAAGTCTGTTTTTAAGGGAAAGGGATTGTCAGGCTGCAAAATTCATGTTCTCAGGCGTAATAAGGGGCTCAATTGAGCATTAGTTAGTTTAGTCAGTTGATTAGTTAAACGATGCCGTTCCAGAGCTTATTAAGCATTCCAAACGGTACCGTTCCACTTAGTCAGACAGTTAGGCGGTTAAATCAGCTATTAGCTAATGTCAGGTTGTTAGAGTTGGTTATAACTGGGGCCCGCGTGTAAGAAAGGATTACGAAATTGCATTTGATTCTTCTGATTTCCTTCACTCCTTTCTTCTTTCTCTCTCTCTCCATTTCTCTTATTTCCTCTCTTCTGTTCTTCCCCAATTCCCTGATCTTTCCCAATCAATTGACCCTGATTTCCACAATTCCAGAATTATCCTTGAGATCGTGACAGCTTCCCGAAGTATTAATCACGCGAAATGCCGGCTTTTTCTCTCCCTCAATTTTCTACTTGATATCTACTATTAATAATAAAAGCACATTGGCTAATTAGAAAAAGAAAATACAAAAGATAATATTTCATGTTTCCTAATGTAATACTACTACTAATAAACTAGGGGGAAAAGCCCACACAATGCGTGGGAGTTTAGTGCCTATAATTAAAGATGGTTAATAATTATTATTTGGCATTTTCTAGTATAAGAATTGAAATATGACAATTTTATTCTGTGATATTAAATAAAAAAAATCATAAGTTACATATTGAGTTAAAAAATATAATTTGCAATAAAACATAATTATAAGATATGATCAACTACTTTGCATCTAACCTAGTATAATAAAAGACCTATTTATATCGGCTCATGCACTTTAGGGATATTAAAATTTGTTATTTAGTTTGAATTCGATCTTACTATGAGGGCAATCTACCACATTATCTTATCATATAAGTGAGATTTGAACAATTAGCATACTTGAAGATATCATTGCTAGTAGAATTTCGGTTCTTGCAAGCAAAATTCTTGAATTTATATTGATTCCAAGGACATATATCATCACGAGGCCTTCACATTGAGCAAGTAATTAATTATAATTTATTGTATGATTTAGGACATATAACAAAACATCTCCTTCTCGATAGGGGTTACAATCATGAAATATCAGTTTTGTGTTAGTTGCAAAGATATACAACAACTAACATACTAATTTAGAGGAATAATTACCTCAAAAAAGTACTAAAGCATCTTAATCCACTCAATTTAAGAAAAACAATTAAAAGTAATGAGGTACATACTTTAGATTTGTAGCCAAATAGTTTTAAGTAGATAGTTAAACATATTAGCAAATCAGATGAAGTGAAAAATTGTCTAAATGGAATAGTTAATAAAGTAGCAAACGATTTGAAAATTACCCCAACTAATAGTTAAAACAACAAAAGAAGTAGATGCAATCTATAAATGGGAAAATTTATGATGATAAACTTATTTAAAACCATAAATAACAATTAACAAATGTGGTCTCTCCCTTATCAAGCTTGTCTAACATGAGCAATTGAATTAAAATACTGAAAAATTATTGCACATACAACTTGCAATATTACAGATTTTTTACAACCAAAAAGTAGATTGGTTAAAGAAAACATACCTATTGAAAAAAGTGTTGCAAAATAGGGAAGAAGAGTAGCTAATGTAACAATATCCGAATTCAATATGCTGCATGACTGTGGTGGAACAAATCCTATAAGCAAATGAAATGAATTTGAATAGATGGAGGTTACTATGATAACGGCCAAAAAACCAGACTTCTCTACTAATTGACATTAATTGTGTCTTAACATCTATATATCATATCTTTGCAAATAACTGATGAGAAAGGCTTTAAGAAATTAAAAGACTTAGATGTTAATAAAATTAAATGATTAGAAGGGCTTTTATGTAATTTCACTAAAACACAAGCTGAATTCAGTTGTACCCAATGTTCAATCGGATATCAAACAATGTCACATATCAAACTTATCCCTAACTTTAAATGTTTAAAAGGACACCTAAGTAATTACAACAAAACTAAATTAGTTATAATGACTCATATTCAATACTCTAATTGCACTTCAAACACTCTCACATTTCCAAAAAAGCCCCACCCTTGCGGTTGAAATTCAAACCCTAAACTCATTCTTATATAGTATAAGGAAAGGATATAATTAACGTCTTCCCAAATCTTTCAAAAGCTGTTCATAGTTGACTCAAATTAGGAAACCTCCACGTAGAAAATTCTTGAGTCTTCTAGATTTGAAAGCAGGTCCTGATCGTGCTATCACCAAATTTACTTGAAAATTATCCCTTTTAATCACGTTTTGCTCATTTTCCTACAATTAGCACAATTAACCAAATATAAATAGAATCCATTAATTAAAACAATATTTGGTTACAATCAAGGGGAAATAATCATAAATTGAATAGTAATTTTGCACCCTATCACTAGAGAACTTTTGGAAATACAAGAGACTATTTTGAAAATTTCGCAATTGTAAAAGCTAAGAAAGCACGCAATTACTGACCAATTATGTAGCTGCGTGTCAAGCCCGATTACTAACTCCACTTCATGTTTTTGATAACTAAACTAGCGATTATTATTATTTTTTTTTTCAGTTTTTAGCCTATTTCCCAACGATTAGAGAATGAGGTAATTAATGTTGCAAAAGCACAAAAGGAAATGGAGAACTCTGGGTGTCTCTGAATTTTAAAGAAATTGGAGGATTTTAAGCCACACTGCCACAGTATAATCCTCTGCAGAAAGAAAACAAAAAGTAAGGCGTACTTAAATTATGTTTGAAATCTGATCCACCAGGGACCAGCCATTTAGATGAAATTATTCATCGTGAGATTTATTAAGAGTCTCAATGATGATTGGCATTTTCTTTAAGCGTGCGGATCAAAAGCAGATGAAGAATCCCAGCAACGACCATAACATTAAGAAAGGTGAATTGAAAATGCGAATCGACTTCCGTAGCAAAAGCATCCGATTCAGTTTGTCAAAGGAGAACTGCACCAAATTGGATCTAAAATTCTTTGCTAATATCTTTTAAAAATCACTGAAACAATTAATTAAACAAGATACATATTAGGAATGAAAAACTTCTTGTGTTTTAGGAAACAAAGAAATCGATAACAAATATCTTATATAGTTTTTTTTTTTTTTGGATAGAAAGTGACAAAAATATTATTAATCTGAGATGATGTCCGCAGCAAGCGCGGTAACAATAAAATCTGGAGGGAAGTCCCTCCATATACAGCCATTAGAAATAGAACAAGCATATTTAGCAACACGACGCATGACATTGTTCAGCTGTCTAGGCACCCATGATGCTTCCCATGTTGCAAAGCTTTGTATATCTCTGAGAATATCATCTACCAGCATTCCACAAGCTGATGCATCTGTCTCTGTAGTTTGAAGCATTTTAACGACTTTTAGACAATCACCCTCAAGAATAATCATGGGCAAATGTAGATCCAATAACAACTCAACCGCGGCCTTTGCAGCATAAGATTCAATAACCTCTGGTGCAAAAATTCCTGGAATTTGCTTTGCCAATCCTGCCATGAAATTACCCTCGGCATCTCTAATGACAACTCCAATACCTGAAATGTCACCCTCAACAAAGATAGCCCCGTCAAAGTTAGCTTTAACATAGCCCGCAGGAGGTCTCTTCCATTGTGACAAAACAGATTGCGCGACCATACTCAATGTCATGCTATTCCTACTTACTCAATGTCATGTTTCAAATATAGTTTAAACAATATAATTACCTAAAACCGGGGAAGAAGCCCATTCCGAATTGGGTAAATTACATATAACCCTTTATAAATTGGGTAAATTACATAGCTCTCTTAGTGGCTCCACCATACTTCATTTCATACCACCGGCAACCCACAGTCCCATTCTAAATTTGAAAAATAAATAAATAAATCGGTTCTCACCAAAACTTTGACGAAAGCCTCAACCCTTCTGTCCATCTCCATCTTTATAACGTGATAGCAAAAAGCATCCTAGCAAGCGACATACATACAAGGAAATCACCAATCTGAGATCAACAAAGCATCCTGGCAATCACCAATCGGTTCTCACTATATTTTCCCAGTATTTTTTAAATGTCAAGGAGTAAACTTTTTTAAACAACCCGAGCATTAGCGTAAAGCAACTACTCGCTGGAATGATAATTTACTAAACCGAGCAGCATTCAACACATATAAAAAGCATTGGTTCATCGCAGATATTGATTTAGATTTCTGAACAATTGACTGAACAAAGCGTCATGCAGTTTCCAGTTAGCTTTATAGGTTTTCTATATATTTGGTGTCGTAAGTTGGATTGTCTGTTTTGCAGTGATTTTGGCTGATTAAAAAGCTCAATGGGAAACCTTGTTGGCCCCTAACTAATGCCTTTACTTTTGGAATTCATTTGATTCTTAGCTGAACCGCATCACAGCACTGTCTTTTTATTCTCTCTGTCTCAGGCTCTCAGCTGGCCAAAGCTTGTGACTTGCTGTTGTGAGTACAGAGAATGATGAATGAATTTTAGGGCTGCTTACACTTTGATTACATATCGAACTTGGGAGTGAGGCATAAGTAGCACTTTATCCCTTTGAACTTAAGATATACACATGAGCAACACTTTATCCTTTTGAACATAAGATATATACAATTTATTTTTAAAAAAAAAAAAGATATATACGATTTGGTCCCCAAGATGGATGTATAAAATGTTTAACAACACAGATTCGGTCCAAAAATTTAATGAAATCACATTAATGCCCAGAAATGGTAGCCTTTATGTGGGAAAGAGACTTGGTCAATTAGTTAAAGGTGAAACTACAAGAATTAAAGGTCCTGGGTTTAAAACTCCTGCTACTTAAATGTTTCTTACATCTCACACCTCCTTGCTAGTATTTTTTTTTTCAATTTTTTGAAGTTTCTTTTAATTTCTAGAAAAAATACAGTTTTCGCACCTAAAACAATGATCACGTAGTGGATCACTTCATTTATTCAGTGGTCAAAAGCCCAAGTTGCAACTAAATTTGGCTGCCTTGATTTTGTAAACGACATGAAATCAATATTTTAAAAAGGGCAAATTACACTTTATCCCCTTGTGGTTTAGTGTTTTTCTACATAACCCCCTTATAGTTTCAAAAGTTATACATAATCCCCTCATGATTTGCTGAGAAGCAATAATTTCTTTACATTTTTTCTGTGCACACTTGTTGTATTTTAGGTGCAATAATCGATATAGCCATGCACTTCTGTAATTTTTCAACTGGTGTAATTGCTAATATTCTATGTGGAAATGCCAGTTGTACTAAATCTATTTTAATTCTAACACTAAAATATAACTCAACTCTATTTTCTAAACCAACTTTGATATCACTTGTAATCTAGTTACTGTATAATAAATCTAATTCTAAAACTGCTATACAAACTTCTAAATAGCTTGGTTTAAATTTTATCAACAAATACCCTTAGATTATAAAGATTAATTACTTTCTAAAGCAATTCTTAGCACAAATATAAGGAAAGAGTGTCAAGTTTTCATTACCAAATCTATTGTTTGATAAGCATTTACGACCAATAGCTTCACATTATGATAGAATGCTTTTAATGGTGCTTTCAAAAGTTGTACATAACCTCCTTATGGTTTGAATTAAAGTGTCAAAATGACGGAGATAGTCATTCATAATGAAACTTTTGATAATATCGAAATTACCCTTATAAATACATGACACACTAATTCCGTGTGATTTTTATATTTTACTATATAATTCCTTTATGGTTTAATATTTTACCATATAACCCCCTTATGGTTTAGGAATATACACATAACCCCCCTTGATCAATAAAAAATTTTCAACTTTACATAAGGCTATTTTGACATTTTAAATGATTCTATTACGAAAGACCATTTCCATTACTTTGACACTTTCATCCAAATTATGAGAGGGTTATGTATAGTTTTTAAAATCATAGGGGGGTTATGTAAAAAAAACACTAAATCACAGGAGATAAAGTGAAATTTTCCCTTTTAAAAATGATAGACGAAAAAAATTCATCTAATGAAATGTGTGGAACATTTTAAATGATTTTTCCAAAAAAAAAGTAATAAAGAACAAAAAAAAACCCAGCATTGATTTGGAAACATAAGAGTAAAAGAAGCACTCTCTTCTTCTACGCTGAGAAGACCACTTCTTGTTGTTTTAGGTGCAATAATTGAAATAGCAAAGCCGCCCTAATATACAATTGAGAATTTGTCTACTATCGTTATTGCTAATATTTTAGGTGGAAATGACAGTTGTACATTTGTACTGTACGTACCTTTGTTTTCAGCTTTTTATTTATTTATTTATTTAAATACTGACAGGTTGTCGAAACTTGTGCAATAATAAAACCTGCTCAAACTAAAAGTAATTTCTGTAGATAGCGGTGAGCAGGGTCGAATCCACAGGGACTGGGAGTAATTGTTCCTTTTCAAATTCACAGTGACAAGGGGGGTGTTTTTATATCAGGGGTGACAATCGAAGAAATTCAAATAAAATCTAAAAAAAACTACTAAAAATTAAGTAACAAATTACTAAAATCAAATGAGTGATAATTAAGGATCTAACCAAGAAATAACTTCAGCAATGGTTCACCTAATTGATCATTGAAATAAAGGCAATTCCAATTATTTATCAATAAATAGGTTATAACTGCCAAACAAGCGATGACTGTCAACCCCTCCTTACTGTGTCGATGATTAAGTTACGTCCGTTAATCACTGCTCTAATTGAGAAATAATCCTAGGTACGCCCATAGAATTTAATTCCCCAATTGCCTTACGTATTAGAGGAGCCCTATTCTAACCAAATAACGCACTACCAGGGTTATTTCAGATTAGCCCGCGTATCCCCCTGACACGAATCCAATCATGCCAGTTATCACTATTTTGAGACAATTAAACAATTACGGATTTAATGTCCCAATTGACAATAGATTATCAAATTAACTAATTATCCGGATCCAAAACAATCAATTAATTAAGCAATCATAAGCACTGCAACCAAGGAATATGCGAATACTAATAAATAAAGAAAAAGATAAAATTAAATCGATCTCACAATTTTAGATGACCCAAAGCATTCGTTGCTCCTTGACTAGAAAAAGGGTTTAGCTCATTATTGATGAGGAAAACCCATGCAAAATCGGAGCATCAGTCGCGGCCATCATGCGGCAGGAGGAATCCACCACAGACCACAACGAAAAGTCAAAAGAAAAAAACTACAAGGAATCTTTCAATTGCTCTCATTTGCCTCTCACATACGTGAGCTAAGCTACTAAGAACCAAAAGAGAAGTCAAAGCTATAGACTAAAGGTCCTAATTATGAAGAAGGAAAAGCTACTCCAGAACCAAAAGAAAAGTCAAAGCTAAAGAAACAATCCAGTCGTCCGTCCTCTCTATTGCTTCTGCCTTGTGCGGCGGCCTCCTTCCGGAGAGGAAGAAGAAGACTCCTTTTTTCCTTCGCAATTTTCCTATATAAAGTAGTGCTCCTTGCGGCGGCTCCTGTGCGGAAAAATGAAGACTTCGGCCCAATTTGCCCAACAAGGGCTCACGTTTTGTTGTTCCAAAAATGCCCCTAGGACAAACTCTATCATCTGAACTCTTTTCTTGCCAAATTAGCACCTGTTATTATTTTTTCGTTCTACTCCCTGAAACAAATGCAAAATATCAAAAGTGAGTAAAATCTAGCAATTAATCCACATTAGGTCAGGTAATAGGAAAAATTAATAATAAAATAAATGATAAAATTGCAACCTATCAAATACCAAGAACTAGACTTTTTGAGCATCCCAAGGCCCCAGAATTAGCGTAAACTAAGTAGTCTCTGTAACCATAATTAACTAAAACCAAGCAAGATTCGAGGAACAAAAGGCCCAGCATTTAAGCACAAAACAAACAAAAATTTGGCCAAAAAAAAAAATAAAGAACAAGAAATACCCTGCATTTATTTAGAAACGTTCAAGTAAAACTCCAACCAACTTCGGTGGAAAATGTATTCGAGTTTGTGAAGAGAAGCAATCTTCTTCTTCGCTGAGAAGCAATAATTTCTTTACATTTTTTCTGTACACACTTGTTGTGTTTTAGGTGCAATAATCGATATAGCCATGCACTTCTGTAATTTTTCAACCGGTGTAATTGCTAATATTCTATGTGGAAATGCCAGTTGTACTTGTACCTTCCATTTTTTCCAGTATTTTTTTTTTCACATTTGAAAATCCTTGGATTCCTTGTTGAAATAATACATCATCATGGCAATCTCCTTTGACTCTCTCTGTCTCCGCTAGCCTAAGCTTGTGATTTGTTGCTGTGAATATGGGGCCTTCAAACTGTCAATAATGTTAGCAACTACAAAAAAAAAAAAAAAAAGTATGAATAACGAACAAATGGGCAGGCGAGGATTTAGAATTTTATTCTCTTGATGCTAATTTTCCTCAATTATAAATGTACGACTTGGAGGACTCCATATATAGATACATATATTACTAAATCTATTCTAATTCTAACACTAAAATATAACTCAACTCTATTTTCTAAACCAACTTTGATATCAATTTTAATCTAGTTACTATATAATAAATCTAATTCTAAAACTACGATACAAACTTCTAAATGGCTTGGTTTAAATTTTGTCAACAAATACCCTTAGATTATAAAGATTAATTACT